CGACGAAACAGTTTGTCACAACCCCTCGTTTGTTGTCCTCTTCTCTCTCTGTGCCTACGGTTTACCGGGCAGTTCTGTTTATATATCGTCACAAACAGAACTGCCCGGTAAACCGTAGGCACAGAGAGAGAAGAGGACAACAAACGAGGGGTTGTGACAAACTGTTTCGTCGGAGTTTCACCGGCTCATCAGGATATCGTCACAAATTTTTTAGAGCGCAAATGCGAGAAAAAAAAAGAAAAAAAAAAATGAATTACTTTTTTATCTTCTTATATATATATATCGTCACAAACAGAACTGCCCGGCAAACCGTAGGCCGAGAGAGAGAAGAGGACAACAAACGAGGGGCTGTGACAAACTGTTTCGTCGGAGTTTCACCGACTCATCAGGATATCGTCACAAATTTTTTAGAGCGCAAATGCGAGAAAAAAAAAGAAAAGAAAAAAATGAATTACTTTTTTATCTTCTTCCTTACAAGACTCCCCCTGCTGGGGTCTTCTTGTTGCAGCGCCTCCAAGGTGGTGAAGATGGCTGCCACCATAACCAGGTAAGAACCCTGGCGCTCCTCCCTAGTCTTGGTCTTCTTCCTCCTCCGTGTCCTTGCTCCTTCCCCAGCAGCGGTGCTCCAAGCTAGCGCTGCTCCATCCAGCGCTCCAACCAGTGTGTCGCCAAACTTGCACACCAACAATGAGGCTGGGCTCTTCGCCCAGCCAGAAGATATAGCGGCCTGCTTGCCTCTTGGGCGGTGACTTCCAGGCCGCTCGGCCCCCAAAACATAATATTTCCCTCCTCACTTCCGGAGAGAAACATCATTGCAGACCCTGATATCGCCCGTACAGGCCCTAGACTTAGACTGGCTGGACCGGTACCCACCTAGACCTAGCCTACCGCTACCGACCTTTAAAAATGCTTACTTTTTGTCTGCTTGGCCTCAAGTACCCCGCTACTTGAGTGTTTCACACTGCTTCAAGTGCTGTGGGCCTCTTCCCCCGCCACTTGAGTGTTTTTCCGCTGCAGTCCTCAATGTCATAGCCACAGGTAAGTACCGACCCTACAGGCCCAATGCACAACAAGTACCCTTTCGGGTGACACACACACACTCAAGCAGACAAACACTCAGACAGGCGCACAAGCCAGCAAGCACGCACGCACACAGACTTAGCAAACCCAACAGCAAGCGGGAAACTCAGTAAGGCATTCATTCCATGGGCAAAACTAAGAAATCAGTTGTGTGTTTCAGTTCGTGTTTTGACGGGTCATCACAATATCATCAAACAGATATATATATACATCTATATTCCAGAAAATCATTTGTAGAGTTGAATTTGTTGTTGCCTTAAATTAAATAATGTGATCCGTCATTCATTACTTGTTGGCACGTTGTCTTTCTTGTGTTTGTTCATGTATAACATTTTCTGCATAACATTTTGTGATGATGGCTGCCTCCGTTTCTAGCCCACAATCCTTTTCCCTCCAAAACGCTGGCTGTCTTTGCTTGTAGCCAATGGAGCTGTATTTTTTTTTATTTTTTTTTTTGACAACACCTGCGGGAACTGTAAGGTGTGCATGAAAACGTCAAAGTGATCAGCAGAGAGGCTTGGCAGTGAATAATCTGGTGAAGCTGTAGGCCAGAAACAAAGACTGCCTCATTTTATTCCTTTTGTTACTCGTGTTTGTGAAGAAAGATGTGGTTGGTCTGTTAGTTATCAGATGCAAGTGTCACGTCTCTCTTTACATTTTCTCTTCCCATGCAAAATTGATATAGCAGATCTTGTCGGGCAGCCCACTAACCTCATGGCTGCAGGTAAAATCTGTTTTTTCCTTTTTGGCTGACCGCTAGTGGGACCAGGCCCCAGTAGTGCTGAGATGGAGGTGCTGAGAGAAGTTCAAAGAACCGCCGCTAGTGGGACCAGGCCCCAGGTAGTGCTGAGAGAAGTTCTGAGAACCGCCCAGATGGAGGTGCAGGCAGGCAAGCCGCCACGATCTGATCCGACAGGTTATCGTCGAGACGATGCAAAATCTCAAACCATGGATATATATACATGGTCACAAAAAATCACTTAGTGGACCATTGACAGAAAGGGAGAAAAGGACAATAAACAAGGGGCGGGCTGTGACCAGTTGTTTCGTTGGAGTTTTACCAACTCATCACGATGGATATATATACTCCAACGAAACAACTGGTCACGGCCCCCTGATCTAATCTATCTATCTATCTATGTATCTATCTATGTATCTATGTATCTATCTATATATCTATCTATCTATTACCTATCTATTATCTATCTATCTCTGTCTGTCTGACTGTCTGTCTCTCTGTCTGCCTGCCTGCCTGCCCGTCTGCCTGCCAGCCAGCCAGCCAGGCAGGTAGACGGACGGATGGATGAGTTGGTAAAACCCCAATGAAACAACTGGTCACGACCCCCTGATCTAATCTATCTACCTATCTATCTCTGTCTGTCTGTCTGTCTCTCTGTATGTCTGTCTCTCTGTCTGTCTGCCTGCCTGCCTGCCTGCCCGTCTACCTGCCAGCCAGGCAGGCAGGCAGGCAGGCAGACGGACGGATGGACGGATGAACGGATGAACGGACAGACAGACAGACAGACAGAGATAGATAGATAGATAGATAGATAGATAGATAGATAGATAGATAGGATGATTAGATCAGATAGATAGATTATATCATCTGATCTCATCTAGATCTGATTTGATCTAATCTAGATCTGATCTGATCTGATCAAATCAGATCAGATTTGACTTGCTCAGATGATCTGATCCGATCAGATCAGATCAGATGTGATCTATAGATCCGTTCAGATCAGATCAGATGTGATCTATAGATCCGTTCAGATCAGATCAGATGTGATCTATAGATCCGTTCAGATCAGATC